TAGTCGCAGTGCAGAGTCATAACAAACATATAAAAAACCCTCGGATGTTTTATAAGCTAGTTATTTTCATGTTAGACACCGAAACACATCCTGACCAATTATCTAGTAAAAGTGAAAGGCGCTGTAATTTCGGAAACTTTTGAGTAAAAAATTTATAACAGATTCAGAAAAGGGAAGCCCCAAGCGTATCTCGAACGTACAGCCAGGAATCTCTAGGTACCTGTCAGTCACCAGGTGCGTCCTTAATTAGCATCTAATTCATTTCAAAGGTCATCTGTGAATTATAGGACTATCTTCGATAGAATAAGCGCCTTCGCTTTAGCATAGTCTAACGCTCACAAACCCTCAGGAAGAAGATACTTAGCATTTTCTTACGGAAGAATGAACACATTGAAATACTCACGTGAGTTCAAACGTCAGTACTACGTTTTGTGGCTTTCATTGTCGTACACAACAAATAAGGACACCCACTGGACCCACAGGGTCTTAACTTGGATAAAAAAATTTCACAAAAATAAATACCTCTCACAAAAGCCAACTTATTTTATTAGTCGTGTGTCATCATCAAGTGAGTAACCCTCAAGGGATATATACAGGGTACATGGCATATGATATTGGATTCGTGTTCGGTGTTTACGGGTTATAACCCACTTATTCCGCTGTAGGTAATTGTTGTTGTAGCAATTATCTATACCAAATTTAAGTCTATGAACTTATACATTTAGTCCGAATGATTTACTTCTACGAATCTAGCAATTTCTCAAAATGTAAAATGTTCTCCGACAGGATAGTCAGTTAAAAGTGTATCATTCATGAATGATCTGTCTGTGCTCATGGTGACCAAGATGTCCTTCTGTTATTGACTATCATGAGACTAGGTTCCAGGGGAAGCTGCTCTTACAGCTTTTGTGTGAATGGTTAAAATTATCGCTTTTTGGCATGCCTTTTGTCTAGCATTTTGTTAGAAAATGTAGAATTGGTATAGCAGACTTTTATTAAAGAAATCGCATTGTCTAGGACAAGCGGGTTTGGAGTGAAAGGAATAAAAGCGCCGTTCCCAGCGAAATATAATTCATAAAAATCGCAATATTCTTAATGGTCAAAATATCGGTTAACAACAATGATATTAATATTTATGTTCACTGCGGCCTGGTAATTGTTTCAAATAATGTATTCCAATCCTTTACGCCGCCACTACTCGGGTTTCTGAATCTGTTTGAAGCCGGTGCTTCTTAGCACGTTTTTAGGCTGGAAGGGCTCGGGCAGCAGCTCGTTGCAAAAGGCTATTTCAGCCTCATACTCTTCTTTTGCATATTTCACCTAAAAGTGCATAATAATGCATTAAAGAGGCATGCGCCTGAAGGTAAACAAATCGTTGGCTTGATAAACAGAAAGATTTTACGTCAAATAACCAGAAACCGAAATTAATTAAGAACATAGTGTTCAAGTAAGAAAGGATTAACAATCGTACCCGAATCTTGTAGGTGAGAGTAAATTTATTAGGAATGTCGACAGACGGACACTTAATGGAGTCAGCCTTAACGTTTGCCTCAAGCACTGTCGCCGGGTTGTCTGGTAGCTTTGTGTCTTTATTTTTTTTTAATTTCGGTAGTTTATCGATTGATTTTTCCTGTCCATTCACTTCTTGCAGAAGCTCATAGGACAACTTATTTTTAGCCTTCTTATCCGTCTTATGCACCACAAGGAGATTCACACCATCTTGAAGAGTGCCGTATTCGTCCACCTAAAACAAAATGAAGAAATATTAAATTGAAGGTAACTCATTTAGGCGGTGAAACTTTTGGTATGCTTTAGCTGGTAAGGCTAATACGGTGTTACCGGCTATATCTCTACCAAGTCAGATGGCTTACAGTGATACGTAAGTCTTCATTGTTGTAATCCATGCTTGCGTCCTTTCTGCCCCGAACGGGGAGGATTAGCGTCCTTGTCTCCGTTGTAAACGTTTTTCCCTCGCATTTGAGAACAGCATAAACTTCATAGCTGGTCAAAGTTAAGACTTTTGTTCAGTTTTGAGCCAGAGTAAATTAGCAGTTGCAAAGGAAAACAATTAAAATCACATATTCTGAATCATCCCTGTCCTTTGCGTCCGAGGAAATTTCAATTAGGGATAGTACATGTTAAATTGGGGAAATAAGTGTTCTCGAGTCGCCACAGTTTGCTAATTTTACATGCAAAATTGGATTTCGAATTGCAGACTGTCAGTGTCAATCAGTCCTTATGTTTGGGTGAGTGCGATTTAACAAAAAAATGATCTCAAATACTTTAAATACTTTAAATGCTACTACTAACTGCTTTGTTAACAGTGGTGCCTCACAAGTTGAATTCTTCCGACAACTGTTGTTACGGTTCTCGAGGCTCGACTTCATAATGCGTATTTACATAAGTCTCTGGTCGGATCTGATTCTACATTATGAGCTGTTGCATGTAGCACAAGGTGGTGCAACTAAATCACAGGCTGGCCTGTGGTTGCAGGTTACTCGAAAAACAATTGGATCAATAAATTATCACTAAAATTCCCTTAAAAGTAGACATGTACATTGATGATTATTTCTGTGTGCCGCAAGATATCATAGTATGCAAATAAAATGATTTGCAGGCCAATTTGAAAAAAAAACGAAATTTGTCTATGGTAACCTTGAAGATGCCGTCGGGCTTGCGCAGTCAAATGAAGGAACACTGTCTGTGGGAAAGCGCAGCTTGAAATCAAATAAGTTGTCTCCCTCATGTAGCACGAAATAGCCCTTCGTTTTTCCATCTGCATCGAACTTTGTAGGCGGCAACATAAAGCTCTTTACATCTTGACCAGCAAGTTGGACTTCGACGGGCTATAAACGGAAATATAAATCACATTAATTATATACCTTTGGGTGCAAGCATGAACCCAAATATTCTGTGAACTTTGCCAATTTGTAATAAAGAAATTGTAAAGAACGCATTAAAGTGAGCCTAAATGTATTTGGAGTGATATGAGGTAACTAACCTTAGGTGGCTTTGCATCTCCGTCAATTACCCCGTTGATTTCGGTGATAGTCTTTTCATCTTTAGTGTACTTGAGTGTATGGGTCACCATCAGCACGACCGAGTCCAGCTTTGTTTCTTTCGACGCATCGATATACAATGCACCTTTGGCGAATAAATCAGCTCCGACATCCTCTTCATAAAATCGGAAATCGAATTTCTGAAAAACGTCTTTTAGAGGTTCGCCGTCGTTTAGTTCGTTGGGTTCGAAATTAGGCAGGCCTTCTGGCTTCTTGCCTGAAGTATAATTGAAGAGGTGTTATGTGTTGCCAATACCTAATAAACAGAAGGATACCGAAATATAACTGGCTCCACATGATGTTCAACTGCTTGAGAACGAGAACCACCAA